CATGCAGGCGGCACACGCCAAGGAAAACACGGGAGGACCATGCCAAGGACACGCAGGCGGCACGCGCCAAGCACATGCGGGTGGCACGCACCCAGCAGAGGGACAGCTGAGGGGACAGAGGGACGGCCGAGGGGACGGATGGCCACCATCCCCACCCTGTAGCCCACGGGGGTCCCCACCGGGGCCCCACCTCGTAGCCCTTGCGCTTCTTGAGGCGCTTCTTGTTGAGGCGCTTGTTGGCGTACATCTTGCCGGTGGCGCGGCGCTGGCAGGCGCAGACCTCGCCGAAGCCGCCCTTGCCCAGCACCCTGAATTCGATGAAGGCTTCGGCGCCCACCGCCTGCCCCTCCAGCCACTTGAACTGCACGAAGCGCCCGAACTCCGGCGATGCTCGGTAGGGGGTCCAGGCCACCGCCTCCAGGTGGGCCAACAACTCCTGTCGCACTTGCCCAAAGTCCTCCGCGGAGGTGGTGGCACCTGTGGGGGAGAAGGTGGCATGGCGGCTCATGGGGGAGGTCGTAGCGCCCATCGGGGGGCAGCATGGCCGCCTTTGCGGGTGGCGTGGCCGCCGGAACTATTATGGCCACCATTGGCGGTGTCATGGCCACCAACAGGGGAGGCATGACCACCAGTAGGGGTGTTAAGACCACCGTTGGGGGTATCATGGCCACCATTGGGGGTGTCATGGCTGCCAGCGGAGGTGTTGTTGGGGGGTGTCATGGCTGCCAGCGGAGGTGTCATGGCAGTCATCACTGGCATGGCCACCAACAGGGGAGGCATGGTCACCAAGAGGGGTGTTAAGACCACCATTGGGGGTATCTTGGCCACCGCTGGGCGTGTCATGGCTCCCATCACTGTCAAAGCCACCATTGGGGTATCATGACCTCCATCGGCAGGATCATGGCCACCATTGGGGCTGTCATGGCCACCATCACTATCACAGCTGCCACTGGAGGTGTCATGGCTGTCATTGGAGGAATCGTGGCTGTCACTGGCGGTATCATGGCCAACATTGGGAGCATCATGGCCACCATTGGAGCTGCCATGGCCGTTATCACTATCATGGCTGCCATTGGCGGTATCATGG